ACGGCGCTAATATGTGATAACTCCGGCAACTGATTTAGGCGGTGAATCAGAGTGCGATGGTGGAATGTTCGTGTTGACGTTAAAATTTTATGATTAAATTACAAATTAATAGCCCAAATAAATGGGTTATTGATTTGGATTGTCTCAAATCGGAGCCCGTAACAAATTCGGTCTTTCGAGATTATATTACAAATTAACAGCCCGATATTGGTTGTAAATTTGGATCTTGGAATGAAGTCCATACTAAATTTGGGCTTTATGTAAAAGTCAATGATAAATTTGGATTTCATAAACATTCTATGTGGATTAACCCAAAAATAAGTGACAAATCATATTCACTTGGGTTAATTATTTGGGCCTAAAGCTAGCCCACATAAAATAAGTTGCAAGTGTCCAACTCCGGCAGCCCAAGTTTCAAGTCAAGAAACCCTAACTCGAGCCTATAAAAAGGAGGTCTACAACACATATCATCATATGAAGGAACATCAAAGCATCAAGCAAGGCGTACATCAAGCACTCAAAAGCTCTCAAGTCTCGAGCTCTTGCCACGACGGAGAACAACAACCGCGGAGGTATTACATCTTCACCAAGGCACCATATCCACAAGACCTAGAAATCCCCAAATCGATTTCTAGATATTCATATCTACTTCCGCAAATCAACGGTGGAATCAAGCTCTCAATTCAAGAACAAGCTTCGGCCCTTGGATTAAATCTAGGAGAAGAATCAGAGGAATCGACAAAGATTGTAACCCATTTCGTTTTGATTAAAATATATTTATTTGTTCCTATTTTTCTTGTCTTGTAATTTATTTTGCAGACATTTAAATTTGAGGTTAACAAATTGGCACGCCCGGTGGGACAACTTTGCCTCTCATCTTCTCTCCTTCGTTGAAGTGCATATTCTTTTGTTAAACGATCCAATGGCTCCAAAGAAGAACCAAAACTCTTTGATCCAAAAGGCTGCCGAGATTGCCACCGCTGTTGGTTTATCATCCACCGGGGGCAAGATCGATAATACAACTACGACAAACGGCTCAAGCTCCTCAGGCTCGGAAGAGATCGACTCCAAATCTCAAGCCTTCACCACATTGCCGGTTATGGTGGTTGATGCGACTTCTGTGGATGAGTAATTGGCGCACTTGACCCAAACAATGGCCAATCTTAAAAAAATAGTCGAAGACAAAGACATGAAAATCGCTCAATTAATGGATAAGTTGGAACAGTCAGAGGTTGGGGAGTTTAGCCCGAAGCACGAATCTTACCCGCTTCGTGACGAGAAAGCAAAGCAAGTGGAAGAAGCACATCCCAAGCCGGACTTCGTGCAAGGCGCCACTCATTCTTCGATGTCTGTTGCCACGCTATCTGTTCAACAATTGCAAGAGATGATTGCCAATACTATGAAAGCGCAATATGGCGGACCATCTCAAGTCTCACCCATGTACTCAAAGCCGTACACTAAGCGGATCGATGCATTGAGGATGCCAGCGGGATACCAACCCCCAAAACTTCAAAATTCGACGGAAAGGGGAACCCCAAGCAACATATTACTCATTTCATCGAAACTTGCAACAATGCGGGGACTAACGGCGATCTCTTGGTGAAACAATTTGTAAGATCACTCAAGGGAAATGTTTGTATGTCGATTTAGAACCCGAGTTCATCAACAGTTGGGAAGAGATGGAACACGAATTCTTGAATCGCTTCTACAGCACACGTCATACTGTGAGTATGATCGAGCTTACCAATGCAAAGTAGTGGAAAGATGAACCGGTTGTGGATTACATCAACCGTTGGCGTGCACTAAGTCAAAATTGCAAGGATAAGCTATCGGAAGTGTCGGCAATTGAGATGTGTATCCAAGGGATGCATTGGGGGCTTCTCTACATCTTACAGGGGATTAAGCCTCGAAATTTTGAAGAATTGGCTACGCGTGCCCATGATATGGAGTTGAGTATCGCGAACCATAAGAGTGCATTCCCGCTAGATGGTCAAAAAGGGGAAATAAAGGATTTTAAGAGAAACGAAAAATTCTCTAAAACTTCTACCAAGGAGTCAATGGCCATAAAAGCAGTGGGTTTGAAAATTCCTTCGAAGAACGAGGATGACAAAACCGGTGAACATCAAATATCAAACGATAGACGTCGACCCACGTTGAAGGAAATGCAAGAGAAAGAGTACCTTTTTCCGGAATCGGACGTCTCCCATATCTTTGATGAGCTGCTGGCAAGGAAATTGATTGACTTGCCGGAACCAAAACGGCCCGAAGAAGTAGGAATGATGGATGACCCAAAGTATTGCAAATACCATCGAGTTGTTGGCCATCCCATAGAAAAATGCTTCGTGGTCAAAGAGAAGATCATGAGACTCGCGAGAGATGGCAAGATAATGCTAGATACTGAAGATGTTGCCAACTCGAATGTTACAAGTGTCACTCCACTCTCAAGCGACACATGTCCAGCATGGAACACCCAAAAATGCCCGTCTGCACCTACGAAGAAAGTGTCTGCATTTCAATTTGGGAGTTTGGAACCACAATTGATAAGAGCTTTGTTTCACGAGAAGGAAGTCATACACGATGAAAACCATATTTCTGCTATTGAGGATGAGGGAGAATGGATTCTAGTGACACGTCGGCAGAGACAGAGGGGACGTGTTGACAAACTTCATGTAATGCCATCACGAAACCCACAGCCAATAAAATACATTCACCGTGCCAAATCGAACAAAGACTCAAAGGTGAGTGATGATGCTTCAAGAAAATCTTACGGAAGTTCGGTTCACAAGCACGTGACTTTGAAAGAGTTCTTTCCGAAAGAGTTTTTCCTGCAAAAAGTTGAAAGAGCATACGTTAATTCGGATGAGAGGGACCATCAACATTATATTCCTTGTTGTGCTGCTATGACTTTCACGGACGATGATTAGTTGTTGGGATCTAAACCTCACAATCGTCCGCTCTTTGTTTCGGGATTCATACACGAGCAAAAAATTAACCGTATACTCGTAGATGGGGGGTCAGCTGTCAATATCTTACCAAAATCCACCATGAGACAGTTGGGGATTGCTACCGAAGATTTGTCTCGCAGCCGCCTTACTATTCAAGGATTTAACCAAGAAGGCCAAAGAGCTATTGTGATGGTTCATTTAGACCTCACAATTGAAGAGCTAGCGGCAAGTACACTATTCCATGTGATTGATGCAAGAACCTCTTATCACTTGTTATTAGGAAGGCCATGGCTGCACGAAAATGGAATTGTCCCATCTACCCTTCATCAATGCTTCAAATACCTGAGGAATGGAGAAATGATGAAGGTTGATGCTAATGCGAAGCCTTTTACCGAGGCAGAATCACACTTTGCGGATGCCAAATTGTATCTAGAGTCAAACCTGAAGTGCGAAATGGTGATTTCAAAGGCGCCGATATGCCAGCCTATTAATGTATGTCATTTGGAACTCGTACCGATGAAGATCGATTGCACAGAGGACGAGAAGGTGGCCACTTCAGTTGAAGCTCCGATGAGCGAAAATGACGGAGCTGTGAGGAAATTGAGTTTGCCAGTGTTTCGTTGCGCTCCCCAGTCACGCCGATGAAGCCAAATTTTGTTCAGTGAGTGCACCACATTATTAGAGGATGGACAAGAACGACCGAATGAGCAAGAGCCAAGCCACTGCCACCTAGGGAAGATTTAATCATTCCTATTATGGGCTTAAGTCCATTGGCGCATGAGCAGACGCATGATGTTGTACCCCAGTCTCAATGGCCTAGAGAGGCATATGATCCAAAATCATATAATTTATTATCTAAGTCTGGTTACAACTTCTCTAATCCATCTCGGCTAGGCGAACTGAAACCTGAGTTGACGGGCGAAAAGATTCATGGGTTAAATGAAACACAAAGGACATTAAGAAGACAAGGTTTTCGCGTTAATCAACCCAGAGTCGGCTTGGGATTCACACCCATCGAGCCAGTTAGAATACGCGTTTCAAGGAAAGGAGAGTGCGCCAACGTCCATCATATCACCATAAAAGGGTATTGGAAATCAAAAGAAAACTAGCCGTCGCATTTCTGTTTTTGATCGAATTGGGGCTCCTACCACCCAATCTTCTGTCTTTGAAAAACTTGACACTCATGTTGCGCGACCCTCGGTCTTTGAAACGCTTGGTCCTTCTAATAATGTCTCGAGTGTTCACGATAGAATTTCTACAGATACTCGTTCAGTGTTCTCACGATTGGGAAATCACAATAGGATCCAACATGGGAAAAGAGTGCGAGAGGATGAGATATATGTGTTTGAATCAACGGGTGAAGCTCAAGCTCATCAAATGCTTCAATCACGCCAAAAGGACCAACCACTCTTAGTTATTTCCATGAACGGATCAGTGAAGGTGAAACAACGTTTTACCAGCCATCATGCCTCTAAAGAGAACGGAAATCGAAGCGAAGACGAAGTCGAAATTGTCGTCAGCAGTCATTATGCAAGTATTGTTGATGATCAAGAGGAAGCTTCGGAAGATAAAATACAAGAGGCCCCTGTGCAGCTGGAGGATGGAGGGCAAGCTACTGTTGATGAGTTAAAGGAACTGAACCTAGGCACATTAGATGACCCCCGCCCAATATTCGTGAGGGCAATTTTGAGTCCTGAAGAGGAGGAACAATATCTTGAGATATTAGGCAAATACAAAGATGTGTTTGCGTGGACATACAAAGAAATGCCCGGGTTGGATCCCAAAATTGCAATCCATCACCTTGGTATAAGAAATGGAGCGCGCCCTGTAAAACAATCGCAACGTGTACTTCGTTCCGAATTAATTCCTCGAATTGAAACCGAGGTCAACAAGCTCATAGATGCTGGATTCATCAGGGAGGTCAAGTATCCAACTTGGATCTCTAGCATTGTGCCAGTCAAGAAGAAGAATGGTCAAATAAGCATTTGCGTTGATTTTTGAGACTTGAACAAGGCTTGTCCTAAGGATGATTTCCCCTTACCTATCATCGAGCTCATGGTTGATGCGACAACCGGACATGAAGCATTATCTTTTATGGATGGCTCTTCCGGCTACAATCAAATTAGAATGGCTCCGGAAGATGAGGAATACACGGCATTTCGCACGCCAAAGGGAATTTACTGCTACAAAGTAATGCCGTTTGGACTAAAGAATGCAGGCGCTACCTACCAGCGTGCCATGCAAAACATCTTTGACGACATGCTGCACAAAAGAGTGGAGTGTTATGTCGATGACCTAGTTGTCAAAACAAAGAAGAGAGATGACCATTTGAGGGACCTTCGGATTGTATTCGAGCGCTTGAGAAAATACAACTTAAAGATGAATCCTCTTAAGTGTGCTTTTGGTGTCTCTTCCGGCAAGTTTCTTGGCTTCATAGTCCGTCATCGTGGTATAGAGGTTGACCCCTCTAAGATAGACGCCATTCAAAAGATGCATGCGCCTAGAAATTTGGAAGGGTTGAGAAGTTTACAAGGAAATCTCGCATTCATAAGAAGGTTTATATCAAATCTCGCTGGGAGATGTCAACCATTCAATCATCTCATGAAGAAAAACACACCTTTCGAATGGGACGAAGGATGTCAAAATGCTTTTGAAAACATAAAGAATTACTTATTAAATCCGTCCGTCTTAGGGGCTCCTATACCCGAAAAGCCACTCATATTATACATAGCAGCTCAAGAAAGGTCCGTCGGTGCTCTCATGGCGCAAGAAAATGAAAGCGGCAAAGAGTGTGCCTTGTACTACTTGAGTAGAACTCTAACGGAGAATGAATTTAGATACTCCCCGGTGGAGAAAATTTGCTTGGCACTATTCTACGCGATTAAGAAATTGAGGCATTACTTCGAAGCATACTCCATACGACTCATTTCACGTGCCGATCCAGTCAAGTTTGTGATGTCAAAGCCAGTGCTATCTGGAAGATTAGCAAAGTGGTCTATCATGTTCAATCAATACGAAATCACATATGTGCCTCAAAAATCTGTTAAAGGGCAGGAACTAGCTAATTTTCTAGCCGACCACCCTATTTCGGCAGAGTGGGAGTTATCCGATGACCTTCCTGACGAAGATATTTTCTTTACCGAAGTTCTTCCGGCATGGGAAATGTTCTTTGATGGGGCCGCACGGTCCGATGGATCGGGGGCAGGAGTTGTTTTTGTGTCACCCGAGAAACAAGTTTTGACATACTCGGTGGTACTTGGCGAGCTCTGCTCTAATAATGTGGCCGAGTATCAAGCTTTGATCATTGGTCTTGAAATGGCTCTAGAAATGAATATTACGGAGGTTGAAGTTTATGGTGACTCGAAATTGGTTATCAACCAACTTTTGAAAGTATACGAGGTTATGAAAGAAGACCTTATTCCTTTTTGTCGACACGCTTCGGACTTGATAGCGAAGTTTGAAAAGGCCGTGTTAAATCACATTCCGAGGAAAGATAATAGGATGGCCGATGCGCTAGCTAATCTAGCAACCATTTTAGCTTTGTCGGAAGGAGAGACAACAAGCGTTCCCGTGTGTAATCGTTGGATTGTACCATCATTCGTTGAGGTCAGTCATGAAGACGATAACGCTACGTCAATTTCAATCAATGATGATCATGATTGGAGAAAACCGTTGATCAATTACTTGAAAAATGGAGAGTTACCCGGGGAAGTTCGTCATAAGACGGAAGTAAGAAAAAGAGCGTCTCGTTTCATCATTTACAAGGATACGCTTTATCGTCGGTCTTTTGAAGGCAATTACCAGCGTTGTTTGAACGGTGAAGAGACGGCTGAAGCAATGATGGAAGCACATTCCGGGGTTTGTGGTGCTCATCAGGCCGGTCCGAAGCTACACTTTCAAATTAAAAGAATGGGCTATTATTGGACTACGATGGTCAAAGATTGCTTGGATTATGCAAGGAGATGTGAGGCTTGTCAACTACACGTGAACTTCATACACCAATCTCCGGAGCCCTTACATCCTACAGTCGCCTCATGGCCATTTGATTCGTGGGGTCTTGACGTCGTGGGACCTATTTCTCCTAAGTCGTCCAGAGGTCACGCTTATATACTGGCAGCTACTGACTACTTCTCCAAATGGGCGGAGGCTGTTCCTTTGAAAGAAGTGAAGAAGGAAACAATGCTCGAATTTATTCGTTCCCATCTTATTTTCAGGTATGGAATACCTCGATACATCATTATCGATAATGGAAAACCATTTTACAACAAGTTGATGGATAAGTTATGTGTGCAATTTGGGTTTAAGCAACACAACTCCTCAATGTATAATGCGGCTGCCAATGGTCTAGCAGAGGCGTTCAACAAAACTTTGTGCAATCTTTTGAAGAAAGTTGTCTCAAAGTAAAAAAAAGATTGGCACGAGAGGGTCGGGGAAGCTTTATGGGCGTATAGGACGACATATCGGACTGCCACTCAAGCCACTCCGTACTCCTTGGTTTATGGGGTAGAAGCTATCCTTCCACTTGAAATTCAAATACCTTTGCTTCGTATTGCTGTGCAAGAAGGGTTAACCGCCGAGGATAATGCTCGTCTTAGACTTGAAGAGCTGGAGGCACTAGATGAGAAAAGATTAGAAGCTCAGCAACAACTTGAATGCTATCAAGCCCGCATGTCTAAAGCATTCAATAAAAGGGTCCGCCCTCGATCATTTCAAGTTGGAGATTTGGTTCTGGCAGTAAGAAGGCCGATTACCCTCACCCAGCGAATGGGGAATAAATTCGCGTCGAAATGGGACGGCCCCTACGTAGTGAAGGAAGCTTACACAAGCGGCACTTACAAGTTGGTGGACAATGATGGATTACGAATTGGCTCCATAAATGGCAAATTCTTGAAGCGTTACTACCCTTGAAGAGACATCTACCTTCGAGGAAAAGAACATGGTGAATTGATGTTGCATGTTCGCTTGAACTACGTTATGACTTGATCCCTTTAAGGAGGGTACGTAGGCAGCTTAGACACATATTCTAAGTTCAGTCAAAACAAAACAAAACAAAATGTTCTAAGTTGTCCACTTGAACTACGTTATGACTTGATCCCTTTAAGGAGGGTACGTAGGCAGCTTAGACACATATTCTAATTTCAGTCAAAAAAAAAAAAAAAAAAAGTTCTAAGTTGTCCACTTGAACTACGTTATGACTTGATCCCTTTAAAGATGGTACGTAGGCAGCTTAGACCCATATTCTAAGTTCAGCCAAACCAAAAAAAAATTAAAAAAAAATAAAAATGTTCGTTGTAACTGCGTTTATTCTAAGCAAGTTTGGTTAATTTTCTTTTAAGTTAACCAATTTGTAAAATCAGGCGGATCCAAAAGTGTACACGATGTAATCATCCAGAGTTATTATTTGCTGCATAATGATGAAAGAGGGATGCCAAGACAATAATAAGGCCTTATGAGAAGCAAGAGAAAATTATATTGCATAAAAAAGATGGAATGTTCTTTTACATCGAAAGATAGTAAAGCGACATGAGGAACAAAAAAAAAATAATATAAATAAATAAATAAAAAGGGTATCACTTAAGCGAACAAATCAAAAGCTTCTAGCTCCCGTCGAGATTCTTCAAGTAGTGCTTCCATCTTCTCCAAAGCTTCCATCTCATGGTTAGATAAGAATGGTGTATTCCCAAGACGAGAAATATTCTCTCTTTTCATAGCCACAACCTGCTGCATCTTAGCCAAATCTTCTTCGACTTTACCAAGGGATGAACTTGCTGATTCTTTCTTGTTCCTCAGCTCTTCTAGTTCCTTGGTGATTTCAAGAATTTCAGCCTTCACATTGTTCGCCGTCTCGACGAGCTCACTCTCTTGCAGTTCAGCCTCGGAAAGGTCACGTTGCGCAAGCAAAAGAGACTTATCGTGCATCTCTTGTGTCTCTCTCTGCGTGAAATCCGATTTGACCTGTGTGTATTGCGAAACATCTTCAAAATATGACTTCAAGCGCTTCTCCAACGGTGATATGTCTTGCATGTAAGCTTGCATGTCTTTGAGCACTTTCTCGATCGCTGGCTTTACCTCAGAAGGTTGTTGAAATGAAGTATTCCTGTTCTTTTGGGAAATCCTTTGCCAATAGAAATTCAAAAGTACTCTTTCGGCTTCACTTTTGATGATCTGAGGAGAAAACTCGGAGACCTCAACATATGCCTTCTCGATTGCAGGAACGGGCGAAACTGTCTTTTGCTGCTCGGTAAAAATCCTCTCCACTACAAGAGAAGTTGTTTTTTGTCGTTTGTCTTGAGGACGCGAGGTGGCACCCGTTTCATGTAAACCCAAAAAGTTGGCCTCGTTTACCGACCCCAAACTGATCTGAGAAGTAAGACGGACATCCTCTTCGAAATCGGGAAGCTTAAAAAAAAATAATAAAAAAAAAAAAAAAAATTTAAATAATAATAATAATAATAATAATAATAATAATAATAATAATAATAATAATAATAATAATAATAATAATAATAATAATAATAATAATAATAATAATAATAATAATAATAATAATAATAATAATAATAATAATAATAATAATAATAATAATAATAATAATAATAATAATAATAATAATAATAATAATAATAATAATAATAATAATAATAATAATAATAATAATAATAATAAAATGAATCAAGAAAAATAGGGTGATTTATTTTACTGATTCGTCTAAAGGCATAGAAGAACTAGGCACGCCCTCAAAAAATGAGGAATTTGCGATGGGTAAGTCAAAAACCTTGGATGTCTCTTTCGATGGACATTGGTTGCTAGACTCGTCGTTCGAAGGTAAAAGCGCGGAGATGATCTCATTCCCTTCACCATAAGCAACTTCGAATGCGGGATCAGAGGCCACGTTATCAAGAGGAATACGCTGTTTCCTAGTAGAAGTCTCCGCAACTTGCGCGATGTTTTCCTTTCCGATAGATGAAGAAACATAAGGTTCTTTGGGGTCTTTCGCTGAAGCTCTTTGAATAGTGCGACCAAGTTTGAGTGATAACTTAGTGTTTGCTCCTAAAGAAGTTTTCCAACTTTTGGCCCACCATTCCGTATACTCTTTTGTCACCAAAGGAAAGGAAGATGTGTCACTTGGCATAATAAGCTTGGAGGATGTGCCCAATAAAGTGCAAGATTTCCAAAATCGGATGAGTTCGTGCAACTCACAAGTCAATATCTCTTTGTTTAAGTCATCCGGAATGCTTTGGCAAAAACCATGTTGGCGGCTGAATCTATGAGGACTGTACGCTTCAATGATGTGTTCTGCTTCACAACGGAATGTCAAATAGCTGGATCGCAAAGCCACAAGAATATCTTTGCATTTGCTGGAGAGTTTGGCATCGTCCGTGACTAAAATTTCTTGCTTGGAATACCACAAATCTCGGAGCTTTGACATATTGATATTATGAAATAAGTCGCGTGCCTCATCGAGATCAAAATGTTTAGCCATGTTCTCTCCCGCATATTTCACCATATGAGCGCCAATTATCTCAAGTTTGGAGTGAAAGTGAGTCTCGAAAGTGTGTCTTATCCATGCGTAGAGATAGTGAATGGGGAAGATAATAGGAGATTCGTCTAAATTCTCCGATGTAGATATTCCCCTTAAGCCGCGGTAGATGCCTGCTAGTATAGGAACTGCCAACGAAAAATATTCTCCTCTAGCCATTCGACTTGAAACCTTGAAAACAGAGGCGCGTATCTTATCAATTGATCCATGAGGGAGAGCAAAACTACAAAGCCAACATGCAATGAACGCGGCCAAGTAAGTTTCTTCTTTAATATCTTCCTCGACTTTGAGCGTTGCAAACGGTGTGTCGTATTCCTTGGGGCGAGATAACTTTGACGCGTCAACCTTTCCACAAGGATTGCGAGAAAGTTTTGGCCTAGAAGTCCTCTTTCTAGATAACCTTAAAGGAGGCTCGCTATATCTGGTCGGTCCTTTGAACCAAAAGTCAACCCAATCGGAGAGTAGCACGCCACTGGAATCTTTTGAAAGCCTGTGGTACGCCATGAATAAGTACTTACAACTACGAGGTAAGGAAGTTCCACGGGAGTCGTGATTGAGGAGCTCTTTCGCTGAAGGAACCACTTCGTCGTAGAAGTCTCCATGAATGGGCAGCCCGCATAGTCCGCGTATGTCCCATAGGGAGATCGATAATTCTCCATTGGCCGTGTGCAACGTGTTCGTAGAAGGGCACCATAATTCAAGGAAAGCTCGAAGAACCTTTTTGTTGCAGACGTACGTGAATAGCGAGGCATGAACGACATCATATATCTTGGCTTGGCGAAGGGTGTCCGCATAATGGCCTAGCACGTCTTCCGTCCACTCCCAATAGCCGACGTGAAAGGACACCTCTCCAAAGTTGGACGGTGGGATTTTCCACGAGCCTCCCTTGAATGAGAAAGGACGATGTGGGAGTATAAAATCCACAGGTTTAGCTTTTTCGTCGTGAAGCGAGGACCTCAGCAGCAAGACTCGTGAGCGGGAAGAAGAGACGGAGCGAGGATCGATGACTTCCCTAGTAGCTTCCTCGGACCAATTGGAGATATGCATGGACTTGTCGATTCGTGACTTGGAAGATTGATCGATCGGAGCCACTTCGTGAACACGCAAGGTTGTACCTTTGACTTTGAAGTTATCCTTGTCGCTATGGATGACGATGCATGGGAAAGGGTCACTTCGATCTTCGATGCTCATCTTATTGTCCCTGGAAAAAAAAAAAATTGGGTTAAAAGAAAGAGAAAAGAAAAGTGAAGTAAAGTTTCACTGAGTCAATTTTACGAACAAGTTATATGCGTTGTCCTACGAGGTGATTGTTTGTGCTAATCGAAGATAAATTTTACCAATTCAATCAAGAAGAAACAAGCAAAGTGCAACTTACGAGAGAAGAAAAAAAGAGAGAAGAATTATGCACTACTTTGTTGAAAATTGCATGTTATTAAAAAAGGTGAAGGTGCTCATTATATATGGAGGTGTTAATTGCATAATTGGAAAATTCCTTCACCGTTTAATTACTTGTGAAGAAAGTTGAATATACTTAAGGAATTTTTCAGCTTGGTGATCGATCGGCTGAAATATTACAATAATTACCAAAGAAGAAATTACCAAAGAAGAAAAGATATGCAACTGATTTCTTTCTCCTTTATCTTACGGCTCCAGTATCACAAAATCATGGAATTTGCTGATGGGTTTATTTGGTCAACATATACCATGAGTTGTGGGGTCCACGAAAAAAAAAGGAATTGGAGTTGGGTACGCACACAACAATCAAGCTAAAGCTTCTTCGGTCGATGTATTGCCAACCATAGTGGGTTACTATTTTGGATCAGTCCAATTGCAATTTATCAAGACTGCTAATGGTTGATTGATGATGGGCCTATTACCATTAGGCTAAAAAAAATTTGCTTCCGAAAAAATAGAAGAAAATTCAAATACTTCAAGTCTCGACTTTCGCAAATACTTGGTACGTTCTTCGCCGAGTCTTGAAGTGGGGGCATTTGTTGACGTTAAAATTTTATGATTAAATTACAAATTAATAGCCCAAATAAATGGGTTATTGATTTGGATCGTCTCAAATCGGAGCCCGTAACAAATTCGGTCTTTCAAGATTATATTACAAATTAACAGCCCAATATTGGTTGTAAATTTGGTTCTTGGAATGAAGTCCATACTAAATTTGGGCTTTATGTAAAAGTCAATGATAAATTTGAATTTCATAAACATTCTATGTGGATTAACCCAAAAATAAGTGACAAATCATATTCACTTGGGTTAATTAATTATTTGGGCCTAAAGCTAGCCCACATAAAATAAGTTGCAAGTGTCCAACTCTGGCAGCCCAAGTTTCAAGTCAAGAAACCCTAACTCGAGCCTATAAAAGTGAGGTCTACAACACATATCATCATATGAAGGAACATCAAAGCATCAAGCAAGGCGTACATCAAGCACTCAAAAGCTCTCAAGTTTCGAGCTCTTGCAACGACGGAGAACAACAACCGCGGAGGTTCTACATCTTCATCAAGGCACCATATCCACAAGACCTAGAAATCCCCAAATCGATTTCTAGATATTCATATCTACTTCCGCAAATCAACGGTGGAATCAAGCTCTCAATTCCAGAACAAGCTTCGGCCCTTGGATTAAATCTAGGAGAAGAATCAGAGGAATCAACAAAGATTGTAACCCATTTCGTTTTGATTAAAATATATTTATTTGTTCCTATTTTTTCTTGTCTTGTAATTTATTTTGCAGACATTTAAATTTGAGGTTAACAGTTCGTACTGACAACAATTTGAAGCGGAAATCCGATGAGCTTGTTGCCGCAGCATCCTCGAACAAACGTGCCTCTCCTCGGAAAGGAGACAAAGTGATGACACCAGCGAGTAGTTCAGGCGGCAATCGAGAGTTCTTCGGTGCAAAACTAGCTTTCAGGAGTTATCAATGGAATCTCCGGTGGAAAAGAAGGTGCGACACTCCCGATGGCGGCGGATTTGAGAGAGCAAAAGTTTGCAGTGGCGGCAATTTCGGGCTGTTACACGGCGGTGCGAGAGAGCGAAGCTAAGCAACAAAGAAGGGGAGGTAGATTTTAGTGGCCGGAGGCCGGCACTAGCGGGACGTCGCCAAGAACATTCCAACAACCTTCTTGTTTGATGGTGGTGGAGAGAATTGTTGGTAGCTGCTGCGGCTGCCATGGCAGTAGACCATACCCCCTCCCTTTTTTTCTCTTCGTCCATCACTATAGAGAAAGAAAATATTTCTTTAAGAATATCCTTGCCAATATTACGACTCTTCATAGCAATTTTGCTATTAGAATCACAAATTTCCAATTGAGGGCTTGATTTGATACTCCCACGATTTAAATCCTTGTTAGGAATATAAAGGATATGATTATAATCCCCATATTCCAGCAAAGAAATCTTGTTTTTCTCCAATCGATTTATGGAACTTTCGGTAGTCTTCTTTTGTGACAAGAAAAGTCTCCTTTAATTTTCTTTGCCCCCATAGATAACTGACCGTCACAGCATCAATATTTGGGCTGCAGAGAAGGGTTGAATGGACGTGTGCACTTTGACATCGGAGGAAGAGATGAGGGGCGAAGATTGTCCCACTTTGACATCGGAGGAAGAGATGAGGGGCGAAGATTGTCCCACTGGGCGTGCCAATTTGTTAACCTCAAATTTAAATGTCTGCAAAATAAATTACAAGACAAGAAAAAATAGGAACAAATAAATATATTTTAATCAAAACGAAATGTGTTACAATCTTTGTTGATTCCTCTGATTCTTCTCCTAGATTTAATCCAAGGGCCGAAGCTTGTTCTTGAATTGAGAGCTTGATTCCACCGTTGATTTGCGGAAGTAGATATGAATATCTACAAATCGATTTGGGTATTTCTAGGTCTTGTGGATATGGTGCCTTGATGAAGATGTAGAACCTCCGCGGTTGTTGTTCACCGTCGTGGCAAGAGCTCGAGACTTGAGAGCTTTTGAGTGCTTGATGTACGCCTTGCTTGATGCTTTGATGTTCCTTCATATGATGATATGTGTTGTAGACCTCTTTTTTATAGGCTCGAGTTAGGGTTTCTTGACTTGAAACTTGGGCTGCCGGAGTTGGACACTTGCAACTTATTTTATGTAGGCTAGCTTTAGGCCCAAATAATTAACCCAAGTGAATATGATTTGTCACTTATTTTTGGTTAATCCACATAGAATATTTATGAAATCCAAATTTATCATTGACTTTTACATAAAGCCCAAATTTAGTATGGACTTCATTCCAAGATCCAAATTTACAACCAATATTGGGCTGTTAATTTGTAATATAATCTCGAAAGACCGAATTTGTTACGGGCTCCGATTTGAGAAGATCCAAATCAATAACCCATTTATTTGGGGTATTAATTTGTAATTTAATCATAAAATTTTAACGTCAACATTGATGATGGGTTTTCTCATAGTGGGTTTTCTGCTATAATTTATTGGATGTTGGAATCACGGTGATCTGGTGCAGCCGGAGGAGGAGATGACGTTGGGGAAGTGGTTAACCAAGCAAATTGAATGGGCCTTCTTTTTAATTAAATTGTTTTTTTTTTTTTACATTTAAGTGGATTTCTTTACTTTTAAAATTAAATTTCAATTTAAATAAAAAAAAATATTTTGATTCAACAGTTTATTTTATTATTTTATTCATTTGATGAAAAAAAATGAAATATGAAATTGTATTACTGATTTACAAAATTCTAACTACACACATACGTGATAAAATTATTATTGAAATTTAAATTGTAGTAAAGAATTAATTGCAAGAAAATATATTAAATTTGTGAAAAAATGCAAAAACAAAATTGGGCTAAAACCCCTCCAATTAGCAATTATTTATAAAAGTGCACTGGAGGGGCAAAATTGTCTGGAAAAAGCCAACTCTCATGTCAGCATATATAATTCAAAGAGACTATTAGTGAGAACCCCCTCTAACATTATTTTAATAAGGATGGGTCCAGCTCATTTTCCTTTATTAGTGAGAAACCCATTCTTTTTGTATTCTCAAATTTACCCTCCCACTATTCACTACTCATTATCCATTAGTTTGATATATTTTTTTTATTTTTTATATTTTAATTTTAATTTTTGTTTTTTTATTTATTTCTTCTTTAAAAAATAATTTTTTTTAAAAAAAACTTTTTTTTTATATTTATTTTAATATTTTTCTTTAAATATTACTTTTCTATATTATTTTAGTTTTCAGTTAAAACAACTATATGCCAATAAAACGACTATTATTAAAACGACTATTATAAAACGACTATTATTAAAACAATTGGTATTAAAACAATGATACATCAGTTTCACAATTTATTAAATTAATTATATATTATATTATTTCCATTATAAGATTAACTAATTATTTAATTAAAACATCTCCAAAACAACTATTTGTTAAATGAACTATTTATTCAAACAAACTAAAAAGTAATGAAAACAATAATATTGTTGTGCAAAAACAACTATATTACTATACGAAAACAACTATATTGACTCAACTAAAAATTATTGAAATCCACAAAAGCAAAAACAAAAGCAAAAAAACACACCAAAATTCCAACAAAAACGACACGCTATTACGCGTAAGTAAATGAATTAGGGGGTTTTTACGTATTTCTTCTCCAGGTCCACCTCCAACAACAATCCAAAGAATGGGAGCAATTGTTGACAAAAGTTCACCACCTACAAATTTAAAACACCGACAAATATCACAAATCAATTACAAAAAGTAATAAAAAAAATAAAATACAATGGTAACAAGTATTCAACTATAAAAGTAACATAAACAACTACAAAATTAACAAAACAACTATAAAAAAGCAGAAAATACAACTACAAAAATTAACAAAACAACTATAAAAAAAAAAGAAAATACAACTACAAAAATGATACAAACAACTATTTCTCCGAAATTGAAACAACATGAACATCGCAACACATCCAGACATATCAAATAGTTTGCTTCGAGCATTCTCGTCAAATCTTGATTTTCTAATTTCAAACCACCATGATTTTTAAAGCATGGACAATAGAAACTACTCCATAATTAAACAATAATTAGCATATCAAAACAAACAAAGCAAATAAAAGAATAACGAAAACAACTATACTAAAAATAGTAGAATAACGAAAACAACTATATTGCTGCAAAAGATACCCATCAATAAAAACATCTCCGATTTTGTTTTTTAAATTATGGTTGCGGTGGAGCAGAGCGATGTTACCAGATCCGACGATGCAGACGAGGGTGGAGGTAGAGAGGGGTTAACCATTACCAAAAAAAAAAAACGAAGGGTCTCCCATATTCGATTCCAACGCCTTTGGTGGCCACCGAATATAACGAACAAAGCGAACTAAGCGAGAATCGACTCCATAGCGGCTGAGAACGAAGCGAACTAAGCGAGAATCGACTCCATAGCGGCTATTGTTCTTTAATTTTCTTCACGGTGCCGGAGATTTGAGAACGACTCCTTCGTCGTTGTTGAGACGTGGCGCCACCTTCGTCCTCCGTAGCCGCCGCCTCCACCGCCATTACCGGGATTCCCAGATTGAGAAAGAAGAGAAGTGGATTTCAGATCGATAAAGAAGAGAAAACGTGAATCGGGATGATAGAACGGCGGTTTTGAATATAAAATATATGGCTAGGGTTTGTGATTATAAAATCTCATAATTAGGGGTAATATAGGTATAATATTTAATAATTATATTAATATTAATTTAATTAAATAACTAAGGGGGGTCTCACTAATATTGGAAAAGGGTGTAGATCCATCCTAATATATCTTAATGTGCTGGGGGGTTACCACTAATTATCCCTAATTCAAAAGGTCAAAGTGCCATGTCACCAAATGTGGACGGAATTTTAACCGAGCGGTTGATTCGTTTCATTTCGAAGTTCAGGGGATATCTTATACGTTGGGTATAGTTCAAATAAGTAAAATGAACTTTACCCAAAATATTTTTAAAATAAATTGCACATGTAGCGAGGAGAGGGTTATCACCGACTGATTCAACTCGCATGCATTTCGACCTCCATCATCACATTTATTTTTTTGATAAAAATCTTATTATGATTATAGGGATAGGGATAAGAGGTAGCTAGGTATTTAAGACACGAAAAAAAATTAAAATAAAATGAAATAATAAACAGAACATAAGCAACAAAAATAATTTTCCTTAAGATAATAAACAATACATATAATTAGACACGGCCACGGACCGGTTTTGGGGCCCGGAACCGGCCCGAACCGGCCCAACCCGTTGACCGGTGACCCGGCCCGTCGTCCCCGGGACGGGCCCGGTTCTATGAATTGGTGAACCGTGAACCGCCGGGCTGCCCGGCGGTTCACCCAAATTAAAAAAAAAAAATCAAAAAAATCGAAAAAAATTCAAAAAAAAAAAGCAAAAAAGTTAAGTTAAAGTCATTTTATTTATTTCCTTTTGTTTTTTTCCTATTTAAAATTAATTATTTTATTTTATTTATCCATTAAGTATTTTTTTTAAAATATATATATATAATTCAAATTTTCCGGGCCGACCCGTGAACTGGTCTGGATAGGCCCGGAACCGGATTGAAACGGCGGGCCGACCCGGCCCGCCGAACTGTGCATATTACGGGCCGGTTCCGGTTCCGAAAAAATTGAACCATGAACATGTATGAACCGGCCCGAACCGGCCCGTGGCCGTGTCTACATATAATGCTACAGCTATACCCTAGAATTAAAC